AGACCATCATGGGAATCATTTCTATTTCTCTTCCTCCTTTTCCCTCTCCTTCCTACACTTTGCCTCCTCCTCCTTCTCTTGTGCTTTGTTCTTTTAAAAACTGTCTGACTGTGGAGCTTTGGGCTCGCCTCAAACTTGCAATCAATCCTGCACCAATATCCCAAGGGTAGGATTATAGGTGTGTGCACCATGCCTGGTTGGGCAATTATTTTACTTCTCTGAAGTGTTAGTTGGGTTTCAATCCTCACTGTATATCTGTTGTTTTGAGACATAAAAAAACCAATATCATCAGTGTGTCTGGTTTTTCTCGCCAGAGAGTCTGACTTCACTGGTCTTAGGAAGTCCAAGTCATCACTTTTATGAGCATCCCAGGTGCATATTCTAATGTGCATTTGATATGGGAAAACACTATTCCTCAGAGTCCCTAGTGAGACCTGTGTTTTCCTACTGATGAAGGCAAATCCCAAGATGACCATAAAAATCAAATAGCCAAAAACTATCTGAGCAACATTAGAGTGGAAAATAACTAAAATTTCCAGGGGTGACTTAATTATTGCTTTCCTTGCAAATGGATGACTTCCCTGAAAACATGGTAGGGAATTTGAATGCTGACTCATTGGCAGATGTTGGCTTTCCCTGGACAGTCAAGATAGGAATCACTCAGCAGATATTTAATTTTCCCTGTTGAAGAAAAAGGGATGTGTCTTTTCTCATCCCTATAATCATAATACATGGAAGGAGGGAGGGAGGGGAGGAGGGAGGGAGAAAAAAAGGAATATTACTTCTGAGAATCAGGATAAAGATGTGCAGGAAATATTGGGCAAGTATTTAAGATGCCTGGGTTCTAGTCCAGACTTTACTTGAGACCCATTCATGGATGAAAGGTTTTTTAAAAACATTTTTTAGAGAGTTATTTTTATTTATGTGTGTGTCTATATATACATGCAGGCCAGAAGATGCCACTGGATCCAGACAGGCAGTTGTAAGATTCAGATTCATCAGAAGTGGCATGTGTCCCTAACCACTGAGACATCTCAGCCTTGGGGTTTATGAGCTTTTTGAGGTAACATATTGAATGAAGGTGCTCTTTTTTTTTTATAGCTCACACTCCTTTTGGGAAACAGGGACATTGTTTGAGGGAAGACATTCCCGTAGAAAGCGAACATAGGAAGACTTCACCAAAACACAGTGATGTTTTTACCCTACACCCACAACTTGAGCAATTCAAAAATAGCTGAAGGGCAGTACCTTTTTTCAGAGTGGGAAATAACCTGCAACTGAGCTATCAGATTTCAGTCTGTTGATACTGGATGACCTTTCAATCCATCTGGTACTGGGAATGTCTTTGGTTGGGAACTTTTCTTGTTTCCAACAGTACCCCGGAATAAAATTAGGTTTTTTTGTACAAAACTTTTTTATTTCCAGAATTCTTTACATAGAATGATGGAGCTGGAAGGGGATTTCAAGATCTCTATATCAAACTTCTCCTTTTGCAGAGAGAAATTGCTGGAAGCTGTGACTTCCTAGATCTTGTCTTTGGTTCTCCTATGGGCTACCTTCATGGTATTCAGTTACCACAAGAAATTACACAGAAGTATCTAGAATTCTCAAAGTGTGTGTGTGTGTGTGTGTGTGTGTGTGTGTGTGTGTGTGTGTGTGTGTGTGTGTCCAGGGCTGGGGAGATGGCTCAGTGTAAAGTGTTTGCTGCATGAGTATGGTGACCTCAGTTCTGATCCCTAGTGCCCACATCAAAGCTGAGTATAGGGGCTGCAAAGATGGCTCAGCAGTTAAAAGTACTTGGTGATCTTGCAAAGAACCCAGGTTCACTTCCTAGCACCACCTGGGAACTTACAATCATCTGTAATTCCAGTCCCAGAGGCAATGCCCTCTTCTGACCTATGAGGGTACTAGGTAGTGATGTAGTGCACATATAAACATGCAGACAAAACACTCATACACATAAAATAAAATAATATAAAAAAATTGTAAATAGAAAAACAGGATGGGATAGTCATACCTTTCATACCAGCCTTGGGAAAGCAGAAATGGGAAGATTCCTGAAACTCTCTGCCAAGCCAGCCTAGCCTAACCATGTAGCCCCAAACCAGCAAGAAACCCCATTTCTAAGCAACAACAATTAAAACTTCCAAATGGCATCTGAGGATTAATAGCCAAAGTTGACTTTTGGCCTACACACACACACACACACACACACACACACACACACACACACACACACACACACGTGCGCGCAATCCCAAGAACCCTTGTCTTTGGGAGAAACAGTGGTGGAGCTGTAGAGCTCACAAGCTATTCTTTCAGAGCATGGCCAATCGACACATAAGTGGATGGAATCATTTTTTTTTCAATTCATAAAGCTAAATGGAGCATAAGCATGGATTACATGAGTCTTTATTAAGTATTCCCAATGTTTAGCAAAGCCCCATCTCTCCGAGGTCTATTTTGATGACAAATACAGCAACAGTAGCTATAATGCTGTGGAGAAGCATGTGTCATAATAACAAAGCTGAAGATGGGAAATTCTAGAGTGTGGGCAGTAGCCCTTACCAGAAGGGATAATTAGACAAGCATGTCACCTTAATGGGTTTCCACACCATTTGTCTTTTGACTCTATAGGGATAAAGATTTGATTACAGAATTCCTAGAATGAAAGATGATCAAAGGGCATCTCAGATTTTCCACAATTCTGAGAAAGGTGCCTTCAGTAACCCATTGTGTTGGCAATATCTGGGAGAATTCTCTTTTAACCACATCCCAAGACCCAGTGATATAGAGACTAAAAACACCCAGGTTGACTAATACATCCCTTGTACCACATTACACTTTTAAATGGTGGCTTTGGAAATTTTCAGAATGAAAATCTACTTTATGAATCAGCTAGAAATTGCATATCTGTTGACAGCCTGTTTTGTTTCATTAAAGTCCTCTCGCCCCCAAGAATAGAAAGACTTGGGTTTTTTTTTTCTAAACTTTTTTTTAAATTTAAGACTTATTTATTTATTATATGGTTAGGTTTTGCCTGTGTATATTTCTGTGCACCATGTGCACACAGTGCCTGTGGAGGCCAGAAGAAGTTGCCAGATCCCCTGGAACTGGGAGGCTGTGAGCCACCATGTTGGGTCCTGGGTCCTCTGCAAGAGCAATGAGTGCTCTAAACGAAGGAGCCATCTCTCCAGCCCCATTAACTGTTTAAACTGGATTCTTCCTGGAGGGAAAAGAAATCTTAAATGAGTATCTCTTGCCCTTGGGTAGTGTTTGAGCCGCTTTCTGACCTCAGCATTCGAATCCATTTCATGATCTTTCCCACTGGGAATCAATTTGCCACTTGACATACCTCCTTGCACCTGCTCTTCTACCCTCTCAGCCAGAGTCACCTCTGGTCTTGTTCGACAGAAAGAACAAACTGAATTTGAGCCTTGCAGCTGTGATAATCTGAATTTGAGGTTATTCCGTGGATTCATGACACTCACACTGCAAAGTTATAAGTTGTAATAAAATTTATACATCTGTGCATCAAATGTACTCTATAAATGGTGTTCCCTAACATTTTCAAGTAGTTTTTCATTGTCTGCCAAATACAATTAAGACATTTTAAGTTTAGACTAGAGATGCAGCTCAGTAGTAGAGTACTTGTCTAGCACGTTCAAGGTCTTGGATCTCTATCCCCAACAACACATGAAAAGAAAAAGATTGAATTTTCTGTCCAGGGCTTTACTTCTTTTGGCCTAATTCCTGTCTTTCTGTTCTTTACCCAATATCCCTGTATTCCTGGCCAGGATAGAGAATACATGGGCCTTCTTCTTGTCTCCCCATGTACCTCTATGTCTTCTCATCCTAAATCTTCCCTTATGGAAATCTGCCAGTCCCCAGAACTCAGTTGACATGCTGTCATCATGAAGGCTTCTATGACAGCCCCACACTCTTGTAGCTCTAAACACATTTGAGTCTGCATTACTGTCATTTCTCTGTATATATATATATATATGCATAAGAAGTAGTGGGTAGATGTTTTGCAAAACCAAGTAAATGAAGGACTCTGGCAATCCAAAAAGACCATTCTGAGCCCTATATACATCAACCACAGCTCATAATAACACAAGTTTATTTGAAATGCTTTCTTCAGAGACAGAATATGCTTGATTGGAAAGACTTGGTTGCTATGACTTGGGCTGAGCTGGCAAGGACGCTGTTGAGGAAAAGATGCTGATGAGGGAGAAACTGCAGTGAGCTTCCTAAAATCATAGCAACCTAAATTCCAAAGTCATAATGTTTCTATACCTGATCACCATGTGGCCCAATACAATGTGGTCACTTGCCCCCAAATCAGCAACCAAACTCCACATATATGTTGTAATTCGTCTCTTTTCAATGCATTTTTTCTGGAGTAATTTAAGAATAAATTAAGAATATACAATCATAGGCTTTCAAAAATATGCATTTTCAGCCTGGTGTGTTGGTATTCATAGAAGCAGCTACCTGCTTTATGAGTTTGAGGCCAATCTAGTCTACATGGCAAGTTCCAGGCAATCCAAGACTATATAGTGAGACACTCCTCTCTCTGTGTGTCTCTCCTTCTCTCTGTCTCTCTCTCTTCTCTCTGTGTGTGTGTGTGTCAAACTTTATTTCTCTTTCTAGATTGGCAAGAAAAAACAGCACTAAAAAATAGAAAATCCACACACCCCCAAAAAAAGAAAGAAAGAAAGAAAATCCATACCGAATTAAGAGCTTATTTGATACATGAGAATCTGTCTCAAAACAAACAAACAAACAAAAAACACCCAAAAACTAAATAGTACTATGAGTAATAAAATCCTTCATGCCATTTTAATCAGTTTCTAGGTTAGGGGCCACTGAGGTAGAACCTAAGATTCAATTCCCTTCTCATGGTTTTCTACCTGGTTCTGTAGCTGATGAGTACTAGACTTCCCAAGATTCCATTAACCTTCCCAAGATTCTCAGGGGCCCTTCTGGCTTCTTACCTGTCAGACAACTGGGTACCATGATGAATGAGAGTAATCCCAGTATCAGCAAATGTGTCTCCATCTTCCTGGCATGTGGAATCAGGATGGAGAGGGGAGGATGCCACAGCACGGACTTCATGCTCTCAGGCTGTCATCCTGGCTTTTTATACAATGTCAATGACAGTCAGGGGCTGTTCTATTTAAGCATTAGGCTGATCTGCTCAGCAGGAAGTTGTGCCTACTCTGTTCTGTGATCTCATATAGGAAGTGTTTTTTTGATGACAATATAGTTTGTGGTAATTTCTCAAACCAGTCTTTTTTTCTTGTCAAGTTCAATTACTGGGAGGTGTGGGCTGTGTTTGGTGAGGAAGATTGGGCTCCACTTATGAATCCTTTCTTGTGCTTCACCCATAAAAGGAAAGGGAGATTCCCCTGCCATTGCAAGAGGGGTGAGCAAGCATTTCTTGGCAGTGGTCTCACTTAGGGTTTTGTAAACTGAGTCCTCTTTGGGGAGTCCCCAAGAGGACTCAACAGAGGTTGTATAGAATGGAAAAGCAAAGGTATTGAAGGGCAGCTTTGGCCAAACATGAATGTTTCATCTAAACTGGCATGACCCTGGAGCCATCTTAGAAATCTAACTAGGTTCCAGGCTGTGCTATGTGCTTAGAGGATGATTACAAACAAACATGCTTAGTCCATGCATGCGGTTTTGAATAATTCTAGTGCACAGTTCATTGTACCATGGATGTGGGATATACAAATGCAGAAGACAGACTGGTGCCTACACGAGTTTGCAGTTGCAATAAAAGACTCTTGAGTATGACTTTTCACAGGAGGCTTTTCAGAACTCTGTGTTCTCCCATAGCATCACCATGCTGTCTTCTCATCCACTATTTATGCACCTTTTTACCTCTAGCTTAGGTACTGTTCATCTTGTTTTGTGAATAAGATCTGACGAAATCTTGGTTTCCTCCTTTGAGAGAAAAAAAATGCACACTGGCACATAATCAGTAAATCTATAGATCATTTATAGGAGTGTCACAGGCCCTTTGAAATCTAAGAGTCTGAGGATCCTAGGTTAAAGGTATCACACTGTGGGTTTCTGGAGACAGGCTATAGCCAATGTATTTTTTATATCAACTCTGGAATTGTACGTAACAAATATGGGTGTTCAACTATGATGCATCGAGACACACACAAATATGAATGCATAACAAGCATACATTTTAAGCCATTTCAGACAAGTTCTTGTGAGCACATGTTAAACTTTTGTTTCAGACCTGCTGGAAATTGGTAGTTTCCACTAAGTCCATTTCAAATATTTCTTCCCTGGCAAAGACATGTAAGGAAGAAAAGGTAGTCTAGATGACCCCAATAGATTAATTTGAGCAATATTTGGTTAAAGGTCACTATGTTCCTTTAGGATAGGTGATTGGTCAATTGCATAAAGCTGAGTCTCAGCATATCAGGAAGTCACTCCACTCTATTATCAGAAACTTTTGGTATTTCTCAGAAGAAACTGCTCGTCATATGAGCCACCAAATACCTGACCCAGATTGTCTCATCTAAGGAGGTGAGGCTTTGCTCTTTGTAATGGTACAAGGTGGTAGCTGGCTAGTGCTCATTACTTAGAAGAGCAGGAGAGACTTAGCAAGGGAAAAGTAATGGATGAATACGTTCAGAAAGACACACGTGTTGTCCTTGAAAGGTGAATGTAGTCTTCATATATGAGTCCCTCAGGCACAAGCCATGGTCAACAGTTAACCAAACCAGAAGTACAGTTGAGCTTGTGGCTAAAGGAAGGTGAGGGTAGAAATGCCAGTTGGATTAATGGTGAAGAGGATTTTGAAGGATAGAATAAAATGATTGGATCTGAGCTACTGGACATGTCCAAACAGGGTGGAGCATGATTCCAGCATCCTGGCTAGCTTTATGCCAATTTCATGTCAGCTAGAATTATCTGAAAAGAAGGAACCTCAATTGAAAAGATGTCTCCATCCATAAAGATATATGGCTGAATGGAGTTTTCTTTCTTACTTAATGGAGAAGGGCCCAGCCTTTCAGCACTCAGGTAAAAAAAAAAAAAAAAAAAAAAAAAAAAAAAAAAAAAGCAGACTGACACAGCCTTAAAGAACAAGCCAGGAAACATCCCTCTGTGGCCTCTGTGTCAGGTCATGCCTCCAGGTTCCTTCGCTACTTGAGTTTCTGCCCTCATTGCTTTTGATGATGAACTGTTGCATAGAACTCTAGATGAAACAAACCCTTTCCTCTTCAAGTTGCTTTTGGTCATGGTGTTTCATCACAGCAATAGCAGTTACAATTATAGCTCCAGTTCTAGGCATCTGACTCCCTCCTCTGACTTTACAGGGTTGCTGAGCACACATGGTGTATTTACATACACATAGCAAAAGACCCATAGATATAAAAAATAAAAATAAATACGTTTTAAAAAGGCATTGGTTGAATTATTTTGTGATTGTTTTCAGTTGTTAAGACATGGTTCAAGATGAACCATAGTTCAATGACAGAGTTCTTGCTTAGCATGTATAAGGCTGTGATCCCCAGCATATCCCTGTCTCTGTCTCTCTGACGTGTTTAACGTGTTAGGCAAGATTTCATAAATTAGAGACACAAAGAGTGAGAAATGTTACACTATACAAAAAGTGATGAAGGGCTGGGAGATGGCTCAATGGATAAAACACCTGCCATGCAAGTGTGAGGACTGGAGTTCAGATCTCCAAAAGCCAGACAGGCATGGTGGCCGCTTGTAACTCCCATACTTGGTGGGTGGTCATGGGATCCCCAGAGGAAACTAGAGTCTCCAAATCAGGAAAGCTCTGGGTTCAGCAAGAGACTTGACCCAGAGAATGAAGCAGAAAGTGACCAAGGAAGACACCTGATATCAAACACGCATGTGCACACACCTTGTTCAGACACCCACTCCACAGCCACATAAATGCACAGGAAGTGAATCAATAAAAAGGAATGTGCAGATAGTAGAATAAAGTTTAGGAAGAGTGATAGATGCGGATCAAGATGGAGTGGAAAAACTAGGGCAACTCTGGGGATGCAGTCAAGAGAGTAAAAGAAATCCTAAGAATAATTTGTTGGTAATAGTTCATAGTTGCTTTTGTGACATTAACCCTTTCCCCCAACACTCCAAAACTTCTCTGGATTAAATTCCTTTTTCTTATTCATGCATTCTGGAGTTGAATTCTGAGCACAGCTTTCTCTGCCTAAGAGGGAGCTGTGTAGCCCAGAGTCTCACGGCTCCCCTCTCCCGTCCCTCCCATTACTCCTGTCCATTATGGCCATAGAGCAAATCCATGGAAAGGAAGAGCTGAAAGTCAGATCAGCGCACTTCATTTCTGTCAAGTAGTCTGTGAACACATGTTGGCTGTGTACCTGCAATTAAATAAACTGTTAGACTGGGCTCTGAAGTCAAGGAGTTACGATGTCATCACTGCCCAGAGTCTACTCGAGGAGAAAAAGAAACCAGCCCTTGAAAAGGGAAGCAATTGCTCACCCACCCTTGACACTATCAGACTTGCCTTACTGCTCTAGTGTCACCGCATGAAAACACCCCCACCCCTGTCATTTCACTCCCCTCTCTGGAGAGCCATGTGCTCATTTGTGGTCTCAGAATTAGAAGGGAAGAGGGGAGAAGATGGAAGGGAGGAGGCGTGGAGGAGGGGAAAGAAAAAGAGGAGAGGAGGGGGAGGACAGGACAGGGAATAGGAAAGGGAAGGGCGGGGAGAGAAGACAACAGAGGAGCGGGAAGAGGAAAGGAGAGGAGGGGAGAGGAGAGACGGGAGAGGAGAGACAGGGGAGGAGGAGAGGAGGGGAGAAGAAAGGAGAGATAAGGGAGCGGAGAAAGGAAGAAAGAGAGGGGGAGGGAGTATGAGAGATGATGGGAAGTGGCGGTACAAAGGGAAGAGAAGAAAATGGAGAAGAGGAGAGGGGAGAGTTGAGAAGAGGGAAAGGGGGAGATATGGGAGGAAAAGGACCCTTCGTTTTCTCGGAAGATGGCTCGGTGTAGCTCAGGGAACCTATCATTTATATATTTGTTGCATGTTTTAGCTGGTTTTCAGTCTATGGGGCATCCAAGCCCCACAGGACATAGGCTTGGATATCCACCTAAGGAAAAGATTTCACTTTTACATGGTTCATGTGATCATGGGTGCATCATTGTGTAGTATTCAGATCAGTAGATATTAGTTAAGGATCTAGAAAGTGGGTTCTGGGGCAGAGTGTGGAATGAAAAATGAGTTGAAAGGGATTTCTGCTCTCAAATCGCTGGTTATCTAACCATGGAAATGGGAGGGAAGGGTCAGACAAGTCCCTGATAACAGTAAAGCATTCCAAATGGATCATCTCACAGACTCCAAAAGGAGGGAGCACGGTGGGGAACGGAGGCAAGCATGTCACAGTCCTTGTCAGGTGGCTGGTGGAAAGACAGCGTCACTGTGGTTGACAACTTCCATCGCTGGCAGATATATGGGAACACTTCAGATTCTGCCCTATTTGGCAGCAGACAAACAGGCTCCTTTCTCTCAAACTGGTGTTAAGAGAAGACGTCGGCTAATTCTGTGAAATCTACAGGTGCATCCTGTTATTGTGGCACGGGGCTAAATTTCTCAGCTTGTAGTTTCCAGTAGGTTTTACTAGACAGGGTCCTGTGGAAAACCAGAATCCACTATGCACCAAGGAACCATCCTCTGTGCAAATGCTTGTCTCCCTGGGAGCTCCCTAACTACTGAATTACTCATCTAATAAAGTACTGGGAGACCATTGTCAGACTCACACATTCAGTCCCTTCACTGAAAATTGAACATCAATTTAGCTATCATCTGCAGCTTATGCCAACCAGTCAGATTACCATTCCCTCCCTCCCTCCCTCCTCCTCTCTCTCTCTCTCTGTCCCTCTCTCTGTGTCCCTCCCTCTCTCTCTCTGTCCCTCTCTCTCTCTCTCTCTCTCTCTCTCTCGTGTGTGTGTGTGTGTGTGTGTGTGTGTGTGTGTGTGTGTGTGTGTGTATTGCGAGAGAGCATGCATGTGTGCAGGGGTACATGTAGGTGTTTGCATGTGTAGGGCCAGGGGAAGTTGG